TGTAAGTTAAACAAAGAGCCACGACTTAGGCGAGTTTTATAAATACCGCGTTGCGTAGAGACGCACGGATTTTTGCGTAGCGAGATTATAAACTGAGGCCACTGGTTTAGACCTGGTTTATGTCCTGGTTTAGTCCTGGTTTAGTTCCAAAGTTGTCCAAGTTTAGTCCTGTTTAGTCTGTTTAGTCCTGGTTTAGTCCTGGTTTAGTCCTGGTTTAGACCTGGTTTAGTCCTGGTTTTAGTCCTGGTCCTGGTCTTTACCTCAAAGTGGATCCAGTTGAAATGTCGCAGGTCGACTTTGGAGAAATCGTCGGGAGAAACGTCCGGGAGGTTTCTGTGACGTCAAAAAAAAGTTTGAATCTGGAGTTTGAGATTTTGGGAAAAACCGGACGAATGACATCACAGAATCATCAACAGACGCTGGATCGTGATTGGACATCACAGAATCATCAACAGACGCTGGATCGTGATTGGACAGTGATTAAGCCCCGTTAAGATCTCATCATTTAATTAAATGGTTTTTAAATACGAGCCTGATTGGCCCATGATGCCAGCTCCATTTCGGTGAGGGGGGCCGCGGCGGTGAGGCGGGGCCGGCGCGCGAAGTGGGGCTGTGGTAGGCGGGCCAGCGGCGCTGGCGGGCCAGGGCCCGGGGTGGTGAGGGCGGGCCTGGTTTGGGGGGCAGCGGAGAGGGCGGGGCTGGCGGTGTGTGAGGGCGGGGCTGGTGGTGGGTGAGGCGGGCTGGTGGTGGTGAGGCGGGCCGGCGTGGTGAGCGGGCCGGGGTGGGTGAGGGCGGGCGGTGGTGGTGGTGAGGCGGCCGGGGTGGTGAGGCGGGCGGTGCAGCGGAGAGGGCGGCTGGTGTGTGTGAGGCGGGGCTGGTGGTTGGTGAGCGGACTGGTGTGGTGGTGAGGGCGGGCTGGTGGCTGGTGGTGGTGGTGAGGCGGGGCTGGTGGTGGTGTGAGGGCGGACTGGTGGTGGTGGTATGGCGGCTGGTGGTGGGTGAGGGCGGGTGGTGGGGGGGAGGGCGGGGTGGTGGTGGCGGTGAGGGCGGGGCTGGTGGAAGCGAGAGGGCGGGGCTTACGTGTCGTACAGCACCACGGTCCGGGTGCCGTTGGGCGGACACACGACGCAGCAGGCGACCGGAGTCGAACCCTCAACCCAGACGAGCTCCGAGGCCACGCGGAGCCGCGCCAGGTCCGCCACGATGAAGCTACGAGGACACACAGGGTCAACACGCAGCGTGTTTCCTCTGCGTTTCTAAAGTCCGGCTGAAGTTCCAGCCTGATTTCCTCAAACTGTGTCCACGGACAAACTCCTCATCCCACCTCCAGATCTAAAACGCCGGCAGGGCAAACGCCGCCGAGGCAGACGCCGCCGAGGCAGACGCCGCCGAGGCAGACGCCGCCGAGGCAGACGCCGCCAGCCTCCATGAGCTGCATTTGGAGCTTTGGGGCGGGGCTTAGGCACGGTCCAATCAGCGCTCAGGAGGTCATGTGACAGGTCATGTGACACACCTGTTCATGTGCAGGATGGTGCGTGAGCCGCTGCTCCGATTGGCGATGACGATGGAGGTGGGAACTACGCACTGAGCATGCTCCGTGACCAGAGACACGTCGATGTGGAACTTCCTGAAGTCCTCCAGAATAAAACTACAAAAAGAGACAACTTCCTCCAGAATAAAACTACAAAAACACTCAACTTCCTCCAGAATAAAACTACAAAAACACGCAACTTCCTCTAAAATAAAACTACAAAAACACTCAACTTCCTCCAGAATAAAACTACAAAAACACTCAACTTCCTCCAGAATAAAACTACAAAAACACACAACTTCTTAGGCTGTTAATCCTGGTTCATCCTGTCTTCCGGTCTGGTCTGGTCCGTCTGTCCGTCCCGGTTAGTCCTGGTCTGGGACTCACTCTGAGACCGGTCCTGGACTGATGGAGCCCATGAGGGACGAGTTGGTTCCGAGCAGAGACAGAACGGAGCAGTTTGAGGCGTTTCCCCCGCGCTGGAACACACACACCTGAAACACACACACCTGAGACACACACCTGGAACACACACACCTGAGAACCACACACACCTGAGACACACACCTGAGACACACACACCTGAGACACACACCTGGAACACACACACCTGAGACACACCTGGGACACACCACACAACCTGAGACACACACCTGGAACACACACACCTGAGACACACACCTGGAACACACACACCTGAGACACACACCTGGAGACACACACCTGGAACACACACACCTGAGACACACTCCTGGAACACACACACCTGGAACACACACCTAGACACACACACCTGAGACACACACCTGGAACACACACACCTGAGACACACACCTGGAACACACACACCTGAGACACACACCTGAGACACACACCTGGAACACACACACCTGAGACACACACAACCTGAGACACCACACACACACACACACACCTGAGACACACCTGTAAACACACACACCAGACACACACACAACCTGAGCTGGAACACACACACCTGAGACACACACCTGAGACACACACACACCTGAGACACACACACACCTGAGACACACACCTGAGATACACACCTGTAACACACACAAAGTCCTGGCCCAGTCCTGGTCCAGTCCGGGTCTGGACTCACCTGGTGTCCGAGTCCTCGAGTGGGAACTTGTCCACCACGTTGATGATGTCCAGACACACGAGTCCCACACACAGGACCCTCTTCCCCGGGCTCCTCCAGGTCCCCGCTCCCCGCTCCATCCCTGCACCTCCAGCCGGGTCCTGACCTCCTGATCTGGGTCTAAACCAGGTCTAAACCAGGTTCTAAACCGGGTTAAACCAGGTCTAACCAGGTCCTAAAACTCTAAATCAGGACTAAAAAAGGGTCTAAAAACCCGGTCTAACCAGGACTAAAAACCAGGGTCTAAACCAGGACTAAAAAGGTCAAAACAGGTCAAAACCAGGACTAAACCAGGGTGTCTAAACGAGGACTAAAAAGGTCTAAACTTAAGGACTTACTAAAAAAGGTCTAAACCAGGACTAAACCAGGACTAAAACCAGGTCTAACCAGGACTAATAAAAGGTCTCTAAACCTAAAGGACTAAACCAGGACTAAACCAGGGACTAAACCCAGGTCTAAACCAGGACTAACCGGGACTAAACCAGGACTAAACCAGGACTAAACCAGGACTTAAACCAGGGTTAAACCAGGACTAAACCAACTAAACCGGGTCTAAACAGGGACTAAACCAGACTAAACCGGGTCTAAACCAAGGACTAAACCGGTCTAAACCAGGACTAAACCAGAACTAAACCAGAACTAAACCAGGACTAAACCAGGTCTAAACCAGGACTAAACCAGGACTATCCCGGACTGCCCTCGTGCACTTTGGACCTGTTTACCCGCTGCTTCTTCTGGCCCGGTCCAGAGTGACGCGGACCACAGCGCCCCCCGCAGACTCTGAACCGAACTGCGGGGGGAGGAGAGCGGAAGGGCGGAAGAGCGCAGCAGGACTACAGCTCCCGTCATGCCCCGCGCGGAGACACCCGGAAGTGCGAGCGCCGCGGTGACAGAGCGCGGAGGAGAAGCTGAGGGGGAATAAAAACACAAACACGGAGCTTTTTAAAGGTAAAGAAATAAAAGTGCAGCGCTCACACGGACTAAAGACACACTACGGAACATCAGCGGGAGGTTCGGACAGCAAAAAGTGCCAGAAACCTGCGGACAAACCCGAAAAACACACAAAAAGAGAGAAAAACAGAGAGAAAAACAGACAGGACCTGGACCTGGACCTGGTTTAGACCTGGACCTGGTTTAGACCTGGACCTGGTTTAGACTTGGTTTAGTCCTGTTTTAGTCCTAGTTTAGACCCAGTTTTAGTCCAGGTTTAGACCCAATTTTAGACCCAGTTTTAGTCCCGATTTAGACCCAGTTTTATTTCTGGTTTTTTGGTCCAAGTTTAGACCTGGTTTAGGTTTGGTTTAGACTCAGTTTTAGTCCTGATGTAGACCTGTTGTAGTCTTAGTTTAGACCCAATTTTAGTCCTGATGTAGACCTGTTGTAGTCTTAGTTTAGACCCAATTTTAGTCCTGTTTAAGTCCTGGTTTAGACTCAGTTTTAGTCCTGATGTAGACCTGTTGTAGTCTTAGTTTAACCCAATTTTAGTCCTGTTTTAGTCCTGGTTTAGACTCAGTTTTAGTTTAGACCCAGTTTTAGTACCTGGTTAGACCAGTTTTAGTCCTGGTTTAGACCCAGTTTTAGTCCTGGTTCTTTGGTCTTTCAGATGCACCGGTCCAAGGGGGAGGAGGATGATTATTGGAACACTTCTCAGTTCAAAGCTTTTACCTTCGACGACGACGAAGACGATTTCACCAAGGTCAGTCCAAGTCCTGGTTTAGACCTGGTTTAGACCTGGTTTTAGTCCTGGTTTAGACCTGGTTTAGTTTCTGTTAGTCCGCTTAGACCTGGTCAGACCGGTATCCTGGTTTTAGTCCTGGTTTAGACCTGGTTTAGTTCTGGTTTAGACCTGGTTTAGTTCTGGTTTAGTCCTGGTTTAGTTCTGGTCTTGTTTCAGCTCAGAGAGTCTCGTTTGGCCGTGAACAGCATCAAACTCACAGACGACGATGAAGACGACGTGGAGAAAGTCAACTGGAGCGGAGAACCTGTGGGGAGTGAGTACTACAAGTACTAAAGTTACTACAAGTACTACAAGTACTACCACTGCTACTACTGATTGGCTGTCGCTCTCTCGTCTGATTGGCTGTCTCTCTCCTCTCCTCTGATTGGCTGTCTCCTGTGCAGGTATCTCGTGGTTGGTTGGAGAGACGTCGGCCTCGTCCAATCAGAAGACAGATTTCCCCAAAGTGAGCTCAGAGTCCAGTTTGAACAAGACCGGGTCCGGACTGTCCCTGAGCGGGTCCGGACTGTCCCTGAGCGCCCTCTTCAGA